AATTTGGAGCACAAAAGAATTAGTTCAGTTTTTGACACGCTGATTTTAAGCTACCTATGGGAAGTCCTGATCAAAATGTCTAATAGGTAGTTGGAGATGCACATGCCTCACTTGACTGGAGGTCAAGTGAGAGGTGTTGCTAATGTGTTATAACACCATGTATTTTATATTGCTATCTCATTTCTTTTGATTAAGTTTGAAATATCAGTTACCCATGATTTCCTCCACAGCCTCTTAAGATGGGATGGGACTATAGCAATTTACCTAATTCAGGCTCCATCTTCAGGCACAACTAAGTCAAAAAATAGCATAGCTATAGTGTGTTCAATGGTAATAATGACTCAGGCAATCTGGAAAACCATTACAATTCTTTTTACCTTAGCTTCTGTGATCCTAGATCCTTCAAAGCTCAATTTCTTTTCACTTTTATATCTTCTTTTTTCTCACCTCTCACATGTTTTCCCTCCTAGACTTGGCTGTTGGGGGCTGCCTTTGAGTAGCTATCTTGCATGGTAGATCAGTGTCCCAGGACACGGTGTTAATTAGTATTGCTCAGGGATGCCTCGAACTCTGCATATGAGCAGGCAACAGAGAGAAGCAAAGGCTGGGCTGAGCAGTTGAGAAGGTGACCGCTCTCAGTCAGAGGTCTGGCAGTCCATGTGAAACAAACAGTGGCCCTACCAGTCTTTTATTATTATTTCTAAGTGTTCTAAGGCAGAAAGCAAAGGGAACAGGGTATTGAATATGGAAGACAGATTGGAATTTAATCGGTGCACTTGTCTATGTATTTAGGTCAGGTTCAGAGAAAGAATATATAGAATTATAGATCTAGAGTTGGGAGGGACCTTAAAGGCCATGTAGTCCCACCCCCTCTCCTTATAGATGAGGAAACTGAGTCCCAGAGAGTTGTGTGATTGGCCCACAGTCACCCAGGCAGTGAATGACAGAGGCAATATTTGAGCATAGGGTCTTTGAGTGCTTCCCATTTCAATGTACCACATTTCAGGTTAGTTTTGTAAGTGTGACTGGATAGCATAGGGGGCACTGAATCCTGAGCCTTTTTTTTTTCGGATGATGAATTAGGAAGTATGTATAGGGTGCCTGCCAAGTAATTTTTAAATATATATATATATATATATATATATATATAATTTTTAATTTGTGGAATAAAACAAATATTTCCATAACATAGTATAATAAAAAAGATGATTGCACATGAAACTTCAAATCTAACAAGTGCACAACTTTTTATTTCTTTCAAATATACAACAAAATTTTCATATACATTTCCTTTTTTCCTTTTTTTCCCTTCCCTATCTCCCCACCCTAAAGATGGCTACCATTAGACACAATTATATGTATATGTATGTAAAATTATTCTATACAAACTTCTATTCATGAGTTCTTTCTCTGGATGAAGATAGCTTCATATGTCCTTTATAGTTAATTGGGGTATTTATAATAGTCAAAATAACATTCATTCAAAGGCATTCTTAAGACAATATTGCTGTTACTATATACAATGCTCGTAGTTCTGCTTATTTTGCTATTCATTATTTCGTGCAAGTCTTTCCACATTTTTCTAAGATCATTGAGATAATCATTTCCTAAAGCACAGTAGTATTCCATTGCAATCATATACCACAATTTGCTCATCTATTTGCCAATTGATGGGCATCCCTGCAATTTCCAGTTCTTTGCCAGCACAAAGAAAGCTGTTACAAACATTTTACAATATAATAAGTTCTTTTCATTTTTCCCTTTGGAAAATAACCCTAGTAGTGACATTGCTGGGTCAAAGCATATAGGCAGTTTAATAATTTCTTAGGCGTAATTCCAGATTGCTGTCACAAAATTGTTGAATCAGTTCATAGTTCTACCAACAATTAATTATTGTCTCAATTTTCTCACATCTCCTCCAACATTTTTTTTCTTTTCCCCTTTAATTATTTAATCTGGTAGGTGTAAAATGATATCTCAAGGTTGTTTTAATTTGCATTTCTCTGATCAATAATGATTTAGAGCATTTTTTAAATATCACTACAAATTGTTTTGATTTTTTCTTTTGAAAACTGCCTGTTCACATCCTTTGGCCATTTATCAAAGTAGGAAATGACTTGTATTCTTGTAGACTTGACAGATTGCTTTATATATTTTTGATATGAGACCTTTATCTGATAAACTGTCTAAATTTTTCCCCCAAATTTTCTGCTTTCCTTTTGATTTGGATACACTTGTTTTATTTGTCAAAACCCTTTTAAATTTAATGTACTAGAAATTATCCATTTTACACCTAACTTTGCTCACTGTCTCTTGTTTATTTATAAATTGTTCACTATCCATATGTCTGATAAGTGATATGTTCCATATTCTTCCAATTTTCTCATAATATCTCCTTTTGTATCTAAGTCATGTATCCATTTTGATTTTATTTTGGTAAATGATGTAAGATATTGGTCTATGCCCAGATTCTGCCATACTGTTTTCCAGTTTTCCCAACAAATTTTTAATCAAATAATGAATTCTTATTCCCAAATCTTGTCTTTACACTTGTCAAATACAAGGTTATTAGGTTTAGTTGCTGCTATAAATTGTGTGTCTACTCTATTCCATTTATCTACTTTTTTATTTCTTAACCAGTACCAGATAGTTTCAACAATTACTGCCTTATAATATAGTTTAAGAACTGGTAGTGCTAAAACTCCTTCTTTTATATTCCCCATATGTGTGTATGATGTGGAGCAAATCACTTATCCTCTTTCAATCTGTTTCCTTATCCATAAAATGGGAATAATAATAACATCTACTTTACAGGGTTGTTATGAAGATCATATGCGATAATGTCTACAAAGCTCTTTGCAAACCTTCAGGTTTATGGCTAGAAACCTAGTGGGGCTCTCAGACACGTTTCTTTATGACAATTAGAACCCCCTTAGCTATTCATCCTTCAGCAGCAGCAGTAACAACAACAACACAAGGGAAGCAGAGGATCTTCTTATTCTCTTTCTCCTTTTACTTGGAATTGTAGGTGAACCAAGAATTGCCTTAAAGATCAGTCTGCTTTTCTGGTTCTAGGACACTTAGTCAAAAAGAACAGGGGCCAGACCTTTTCCTTCTCACTCTTTTCCTTAGATTCCCACATGCCAAAAACTAGAAGCCCATTCTCTCCAAGTCTGTTCTGTTTCCTTATACCTTGATCTTCCTGTTGGCAGACCTAGAGCTAAAAGAAGTCTCAGAGAAACATGAAGAACACAGCTCCAAACTACCTTTCACATTACTCTCCTTTACACAGTGCTAGCTGCTGGAGCCACAGAGAAAAAAATGAAGTAGCTCTTGCCCTCAAGAAGATTATATTCTGTTAGGGGAGAAAATATAAACATATATGAGTAGTTTGGGGAGGGAGGCACCAGGAGCGGGGTCAATCTGGGAGGGATTTCTATAGAAAGTGGTGCTTAAGATGAGTATGAAGGAAATGGGATCTTAAGAGGCAGAGGTAAGGAGTGTGCCACAACATAGTAAAAGGACCAGCAGAGACCTCCAGTAAACCGAGTCATTCTTCCATGGAGAACTCACTGAAATATGATGTGCAAGATTCATACAGGATCAGAAGTTGTTGAAGGGGTGGCAATTCATACTAGTAGAGGGAAGAAATACCTATACTGATGAGTTCATGGAATGAAAAACAGTCCCTAATATTACATGCAGCTTTAAAACTTTCTGATTCAAATAATCCAAATAAGGATGGCATGGTGCTTAAAACTGGTAATACAAGGATTCTTCAATAAGCAAAATTTCATAATTTTTATGAGACACAATCTGGGTCTGTGATTATATGCCAACAGTCTGTAAATCAATCAGTTAGTATTTGTTAAACATCTACCATGTGCCAAGGACCACACTAAGTGCTGGAATTCAAAATTATTGAGGGCAATCTCTAACCTCCTCTATTGCATGTCTTATTACCTTAGTGTATGAAGAGTTGGCACAAAGGATTTTATTGGTTTCTCAAATTCTCCAAAGTACAATGTTTATAGACATATTGGAAATTCTATATTCAACATTATATGAAGACAAATTTCTGGGTGACCCATGTTCAAGTCTAACCCTTATAGCTTGCTACCTCTGTGGCCCTGGCAGGAGATTTTTCCCATTCTTCTTTCTTCTCCCCTTCCCACCCTCTTCACCATTTCTAGTGACTTCTTCAAAGATTACTTTCTATTTACATTGTATATATTTTGTGTATATGATTTTTTGTGTTATCTCTTAAATTAGAATGGAGTTTCATGAAGCAGGTGTTGTGATTTTGCCTTTCTCCCTAGCCCCTTACAAAGTATGTATACCCCACTTACACATCAAGTATTTAATGAATGCTTGTTCACAGATATATATGTACAAAATCTTCCCCAATAAAGCAATCAGTGTTTAGAATGACAAAGTGCTAAGTAAATTCTATAGAGGGAGAGATGGTGCCTGAGTAGAATAGGCAAGAATTCATTGACCAGGTATCATGTGATCTAGACCTTAAAAGATGGGAACTACTGAAAAAAAGAAGAGATAAAGTGATATACATACTAAACATGGTGGAAAGAGTGAAGAAAGGCAGTGAGGTGGGAAAAAATTCAGGGTGCAATTTTAATAAAGACAGATAATTAATCTAGTTTGTCTGGGAAATAATTTGAGAAAGAAGCACAACAACCAGAGCAAACATGTTTTTCTATTTTCTCAATAAGGTTCTTCGCCATTTCCACATAGGAAAATGAATCTACTGAAATGAAGGCAATGGCTAAAATGATCTTCAAAGTTCTTTTTAGTTTTGGGATTTTACAAATAGGCCTCACTTTTTCCTTCTAGAGTTGGGATATTCTCGCCTGGTTTTCTTTTTTGCCTAAACTGTTGGGCTAGTGGTGAGGCATTAAGTTTTCTGGTGTCTCTGTGGGCATAGCCCTGGGAAGATGTTATGTTCTGTAATATGATAGTGCTAGGAATCAGGAATAGCACTGATGGACCCTAGGTGAGAGTGGTGGCAGTAGTCCATGTGGGCATAGCTGGTATAGCCATATTGGTTCAAATAGGACTTCTGAGAGGCTCAAAACTTGCAAAACTCATGGCAAACTTGACCTAATTGCTTCCTTGGAGCCTTTGAAATAATGAATCTCCCAAGTGACCTATCCCATCTAGTGCATGAAAAGTGTTAAATAGAAAAAAAAAACCTCCTTAGTCATTAAGCACCGACATTATACAGACTATACTTTAGGTATGTCTCCATATCCCACGCTCATTCAAATTTTAGTTGTACTTCAAATGGGACTCAACATTGGCCTCACATGCCATTTCTTCCCTCACTTCAAGTATTGCCTGTTCTTATAGGAAAGCCCATCATCTTCAAGGTCCAGGAAACAAACATTAATTCAGGAAGATTGATTTGCAATGAAAGTGAATATTCATGTGATAAATGCTTGGTCATTTGGTTTTATCAGAGTTCTTATGCTTATATTGCCATCAGTTTAATGACATGGAAGTCAGGATAGGTTCTTCATTTTGACTCACCATTAAGCCAGTCTAATCCAAAAAATTACAAAAAAATAACAACCATAACAATGAAACAAAGATGGATATGTGAGGGTGAGTTTGTTCCTGGCTTTCTTCTTCTCTACTTATAGCTGATCACATGTTTAGTTCATGCGGGGGTGTTCATGGACCATTTGAGAGAACTGGGGATGTTTAGCTTAGAGGAGAAAAGATTGGGATGATGTCGGTGCATGAAGCTGTAGCTACCTTCAAATGTTTAAAGGACTGCTATATATACATATATACATATATATGTATATGTATATCTGTATATACACACACACACATGCATTCACACATATAAACAAATAGATAAATATGTGTGTGTGTGTGTGTGTGTGTGTGTGTGTGTGTATACACATATATATAATGTCCCAGAGGGCAGAACTAGGAATATGGGATGAAAGTTGTAAAAGCATATTTAGATTTGAAATAAGGATAAAATTCTTTACCATGGTTTATACAAAAAAGAAATGCACCAGGTTTCCCCAGGAAATAGCAGATGCTCCTCCCTGTCCCTCAGTGGAGGTCTTTGAGTGAAAGATGTTGGTCAAATTGGAAATTGTGTTGTGAAAAACTTTGTTTTTCCATATATTTGTTTGACCATATGGCCGCTGACTTCTCTTCCAACTCTGAAAATTTATAATTCAGATAAAGTGATTAGAAGAAAATACCCTAGAGATCATATTGTCTAATGCTTTCATTTGATGGATGGGGAAACAGAACCATAGAGTCAAGAGATGACCTTAGACCTGATTTCTTAAAATCTACTTTTCTTTTGACTATGCCATTTTGCCTCTATTCCAGGGAAAGGTACTGGATAGTAGCTTTGCTTTGAAACTTAATACTTTCACTTTTAAACATTGTCATTCAGTATATATAATAATTGCATGATAATAAGTTGTTAATGAAATGCAAGCTACTAGGAATATAGTTAATGAAAATAAATTCTATAAAAGGGGCTTGAATAACCTTGAGGGAAGGGAGTTCAGAAAAATGGCTAATTAATGAAAATTAATTAATCCATTTTTGATAAGGTGGAGGTTCTGCAAGAAAACTTTCTATTTTTAAACCAAATCATATCATCAAATTTTATAACAACTATGAAGGCAATTTAAGGAGATGTAGCTCACAGCACTTAGTTCATGATCCACATGGTACTATAATCTTATAAATAAATTTGTTTTCTGAGAAAATTATCATTTTGATACTTCTTTTGTAGGTTTAAAAATGGATTCCATAATCTATAAGAAAAATTTCTAAGATTATTTGAGCAGAAAATAATTGCAGTTTCCTAATCCAAAATCTTCCTGAAATGAAAAAAATATACCTGAATGCTTATATCTTGATATGATTCTCTCTGGAAGACATATGTTCATCCACTGTTGTCTTTTTTACATCTATAATCCTGGTGAGTCTGCTCTTTGCCTATTTTATAATAATATTTCCTCTAGTCATGATAAAGACAGTCATTTCTGAAAATGACGGAAAAGGAGATTTCAAGACAGAGGAAATTATACAAGGAGGGAACAATCATTAAGCATTTAGCATTTTCTAGAGAGACTGAAGGGGATGGGGGGGAGGATTGCATAATTGATAGAGAGCTGATTTTTTAGTTAGGCCTGTAACATATTTTACTGCTCAATGTCCCAGATACTTTCCCCAAATTGTAAATTTTAGAGCAACTGCGTAGCTCCACTGGGAAAGGGAATTTCCTTATCTGGGATTTCTTATACCAATAAAATCATAGGTCTCGCCTTAAAAAAGAAACTGTCAATGAGGAAACTTTACTATCAAATAAGTTTCCTCCAGTGTGGGATCATTTCCAGGGACATTAAGCATATAATCAGCTTGCTCTGTAATATAGGCAGCATGAGACACAGACCGACTTGAAAGTACTTCTTCCTGACTCCAAGGTCAGCTCTTTAGACACTACCCCACTCCTGAGGAGTTATCTTTGCCCATGTAACCATATGTCCAGTCCCCAAATACTATCTTTCTTTCTTTGTTTCTTTGATTCTTTCTCTTTCTCTCTCTTTCTTTTTCTTCCTTCCTTCCTTCCTTCCTTCCTTCCTTCCTTCCTTCCTTCCTTCCTTCCTTTCTCTTTCTTTCTTTTTCTTTCTCCCTCCTTCCTTCCCTCCCTCCCTTCTCTCTCTCTCTCTCTCTCTCTCTGTCTGTCTGTCTGTCTCTCTCTCTCTGTCTCTCTGTCTCCTCTTTCTGTTGGAGAAGGGTAGGGAAGAGAGGATAAAAAATTGATAGATTCAGCATTTAAAAGCTAAATAAATACAGTCAAGATTACCTGGAACAGGAATAATCTAAGAGAGTTTTTCTGCCAACCTGTGTAAGAAAAAAAATGTCACAGTAACACAGAAAATATTAGGTTTTAAAATATTGGAAAGAAAGTCAGCAAGGAAGGCTGGACTTTAAATATTTAAAAAAATATTGATGAGACACTCTTTTTCTTTCTCAGTGAAAGAAAATATCTTTTTTTAACAGTGATTATTTTTAATTCTTCAAGAAATTGACAGAACAAAGTGATAATAACATTCATTCCATCTCTAGTTGAGCTATGAAAGAAGAAAATCCCTGTGAACTATAGGACTTGGGTGACTAATGTAACAGTGACATAAATAATCAGACTATCATGACAGAATTTATCCTCAAGGGACTCACAGACATCCTTCAGTTTGAGTTTTTATTTTTTGTCCTTTTCCTCTTCATTTACATAGTGGCTCTTACTGGAAATTCTCTCACTGGGGCTGCTGTCAGCCTGAATTCCGAACTTCACACCCCAATGTATTTCTTCCTTGCCAACTTGGCTTTCTTGGATGTCATCTGCACATATACTGATGTGTCTAATCTCCTCCAGATTTTGGGGAGAAAAGACAATACCATTTCTTTTAGGGGGTGTATGACTCAGTTATACTTCCTGACTTGGTCGGTGGCTGCTGAGCTCTTGGTCTTCACGGCCATGGCGTATGCTTGGTATGTAGCAATCTGCCAGCCTCTGCATTACAGCAAGAAAATGAGTAGGGAAGTTTGTATCTCCTTGGCTGTGGCTGTGTGGGGGATCAGTGCATTTGGTGCCACAACAAATACCAGCCTCTTGTTGAGGTTGTCATTCTGTGGTCCCATTGTCATTGATCATTATCTCTGTGAGATCCCTGCTCTATTGCCACTCTCTTGCTCATCCACATGTGTGAATGACATCATGACAGTTGTGGCTGACATATTCTTTGCTGTTCTGAATTTCCTGCTCACCATGCTGTTTTATAGCTTCATCACTTTCAGCATCATGGCAATCCGGACCACAGAAGGCAAAAAGAGAGCTTTTTCTACTTGCTCCTCTCACCTCATTGTAGTGACCATGTACTACTCCACTGTGATCTATGTCTACCTGAGCTCAGGCTCCAGCTACTCTCCAAACAAAGGCCAGATCATGGCTGTGCTTTATTCGACAGTGAGTCCCACCTTGAATCCTGTTATCTATACTTTGAAGGATAAAGATGTCAAAAGGGCCCTTAGAAAACTCTTCATGTTTCTCAAGGGAAAATGATAATTCATTCTTCTAAATTCTCAGGAATGATAGTTCAGAGAATTTATTTTAAATGGCAGCTATCCTTATTTTTATTTATTTTATTTAGAAGCTTGTAACATAGCATTATGTTTTAGACCCTGTCCACCACCAGGTTAATAGAAATAGACAAACTTTCTCCATTCTAGCTCATACATTTACAACACTCTTGAGATTGCCACAGCACTGTTTTTTTTTTCTCACAACCAACCCTGTGAGATAGATAATACAACTGTTGCAATTATCATTTTATAGATGAGGATATTGTGAATCAGAGAGGTTGTGATTTTCCCAAGATCATGTAGCTTGCTTAAAAAGGCCAAGGTCTCCCACTGCATCTAGGGCTATCTCCAGTTGTCCTGATCTATATCTCACTATGGGACCCAGATGGCTCTGGAGGAAAGTAAGGCTGGGGACTTTGCATAGCCTTACCTTACTTAAATCCAATTCATTTGCATGTCATGGCATCGCCTCACTGATATCATCATCCTCTTCGAGAATGAAGGACAAAAAACAACAAGGATAGCTAGCCAATAACCTAGGATTCAAATTCAACTTTATTGGCTCAATTTTCCCCAAAATAGATCATAGACACAGAATACCATAAAAATGGGGGATGAAATTAAGAAGGGAACCAATAATGACATTCTCTTCCTTTTATCCTTACCTTTTATGAAACCTTGTGTTACTTGGAATTAAAGGCCTTTGTTCTACCTTGTGTAGAATGACTAGTGATATGGGAAAAGGTTCAAGTCAGAAAAACAAAGGGTATAAACAATATTAATGCATTACCTATGCTTAGATTTCTGGTCTTTCTTGATGAGAGCTCACATTCACTTGGGTCAAGATTCACTTAAGTTCCATTCAGCAAAATTCATTGAGTACCTTCTCCCCTCACCTCTGCCTCTCAGCATCCCTGGTTTCCTCCAAGTCCCACCCCAAATCTCATTTTCTACAGGAAACCTTTTCTGATCCCTCCTAATTCTAGTGCCTCCACTACTTTTTTTATTAGTTCCTATTATATATATATATATAAATACATATATATACATATATGTATGTATATATGTTTCTATGTAGTTTATATGTTGCCTTCCCGATTAGACCTTGGGATCATTGAGACCTGTGACTATTTTTACCTCTAATGGTGTCTCTAAAACTTTGCACAGTGCCTGGTAAATTACAGGCACCTAACAAATATTTATTGACTGACTGGATTCTAGGGATACAAAGACAAGTCTTGTTCAGGGTATGAAGATGGAAACATAATGTGAAAGGTTGAGTTGTGTTGACAAGGTCAGATACTTAAGGGAAAAAAGCAAGTCTTTTCCTTGTATAATAGGAATTCATCTGAAAATAGCATTATCTAACACCCATTTTTTTTTCCTGATGAAAGACTGGGTTCTGCTGCTGAAACACTGTCTTATTGTCTAAAAGTGTATACATCTGGTTGCATTTCCATGGCCAGAGGTTTCTCTAACTAAGAAAAGAGTAGTGAGATGTTAATCAGAGAATCCTGACATTTCTGAGGTGGAAGAGATCTCAGTGTTTATTCCACTCTAAGGTTTATCCCTCATGCACTTTCCCCAAACAAGTGGCCATTCAGTCTCCTTTGAAGACTTAAATTATGGAAAAAAAAAGACTCACTCTCAAGTGTTCTTGGACTTGGGGTCCAAGAACTTTTTTTGTTTTTACAAATATTTTGCTAAATGGATTTAAACAGCATTTCCTTTGTTATTCTGTATCTTATTTTCTCCTTTTAAAAACATCTTGAAAAGGGATCTCTGAGTTTCAACAAATTGTCAAAGGAGTCTATAATAGAAAAAAAGAGGTGAAGAACCCATGCACAGCCTGCTGCTGCAGCCTACATCATTTTCCCACATGAACAGAGAGGTGTAGCCAGAATTGAATGGGAGGAAAAGAGAGATTTGTAGTGGATGAATTAGACATTTAGACATAAATCAGTGAATTAGACACTAATTTATACTCCTCCCCATCCCCCAGTGCAAAGACCACCTTTTCTATACCAAGTTCTCTTGACATTGCTCCATGCTTACTAAATTTGGAGACTAAAAATTGTAAGAAAGTAAAGTGACAGTTGACTGAAGGAAAATGGAGAGACATGCCATTTCACTGGAAGGCTGTGTTGCATTTCCAGTCAAGAGCTAGACTTAAGAAGTTTTGTAAGAAAAAACAATTGAAGGAATATGGTCAGGTTGCAAAACTCTTTAATTTACGGGAAGCTTTCTTTCTATTGATATGTAGAAGTGCTGTGCAGATGTACTAAGCCTGTCTTTAATTTTTTGAAATTCAAGAAGAGGAATATTCTTTTTGTTTTAAAATTCAATTGATCTGAAACCTCTATCCTTATAAATTCCACCTTGATTTTCCTCTCTAGGATAAAGTTTTATTCCTCTTCTATAGCTTTGACTGTTGTTCAAATATTTGAAGACATATTTTGTCCCAACTATATGCTTTTTACATGGAAATACCCCTGGGTCATTCAGTCTACTCTCATACTTATTTTATATCCACTTATTGTCCTGGTTTTCCCCTGCTGGATGAATTTCATTTTCTTAGTATTGTTCCAAAAATGTGGTACTCAGAAAAACATGCAGTATTTTAGGTATTCAGAGTTCAGTAGGATTATGATTTCCTTTACTCTGGATATTTACCTCTCTCAATGAAGTCCAAGGAAACATTCATGGTTTTGGTTCTCATGCCCTACTGTTGACAAGAACTGACTGATTAATCCACTAAAATCTCCATTTTTTCCCCTATTGGTTAAATGTAGTCTAGACAGAAGCATCCTATTCTTACCTGTGAAATTAATTTTTAAAATTCATGTTCAATTCTCTAAATGTATCCATAATATGTTTCACCTCATTTAACTGACATCATAATACAAGAGATGGAACCCTGTCCAAAATCTGAATATATTATGACAGAAACTGTCACAATTATAATTCATCATCAACCTCACAGCAAAATTACAGTTCAAAATATAGCTGGAATAGAATAGAAATAGGAGAAACAACTAAAACCCTTTCATTTTCAAATTAATTTATTTTATGTTTCCTTGGCTGAATTGCGTGTATAACTGATTTAAATGATCTGAAGGTCAAATACTCCAGCGTGTTATGTTTAAGGACCAAGAGTAATTGTGAGAGACATCATGATTATTTTGAAACCTGCTGGAATAGGAGTCCAATGATCTGATGTCTAGATCTCCTTTTATCTCTTTGATTAGGACATTTTTTTGCCACACTGGGTCTTAGTTTCCTCAATTTTAAGAGTTGGACTCATTGTTTCATAAAGTACTTTATTTAAAAATTTAAGGAGAGGAACTTTTTTGTTTTAAAATTTAATATTGAACATATAAATATTCTAAATAAATATACTCCATGTATGTTATTTTCAAATATTTATTATTCAAGTTCCAAATTCTCTCCTTCCCTCTGACTGCCTTTATCATTTTTAAAGCAGTTAGAAGCACTCTAAATGTACAGAGGGAATGGATGTGAGTTAATTATGCTGGGATGTTATTAAAATAATTAATGGGGTGAAAAAGAGATACACTGGCAGAAGGGTAAGAAAGAGACAGAATGGGAACAATTATCTCATAAAGAGAAATGCAAGTAAAATCTCTTTCAATGGGGGAAAATTAGAGAGAGTGTGTAAACAATGCTTAAACCTGACTGAAATCAGAATTGATGCAAAGATAGAATAATAGGTAGCATAAATTCTCTCTCTCTCTCTCTCTCTCTCTCTCTCTCTCGCCCTCTCTTTCTGTCTCTTTGTTGTTCTTCTTCTCTGTATATAATAGGAAAGAAAGGAATAAAAGAAAGGGGGTTGATAAAAGGAAGGGTGCATTAAGAAAGGCACCAGTCAGAAGTAAAACAGAGTTTGGAAGGACAGGATAAAAAAAAGAGAAGGATAAAGAGAAGAAAATAGGGTGGAGGAAAATAAACCGTAATCAAAACTGTGAATGTGACTGGTGTGAGCTCACTCATAAAATGGAAGTGGATTTACAGAATGGAATAGAAACCAGAATTTTACAACATGTTGTTTTTAAGAGATGCATTGAAAGAGAAAGACACAGAGTTAAAAAAAGGAGAGCAGAATATATTAACTGAAGTAAAAAAAAGGCAGGAGTAGAAATCATGATCTCTGACAAAGGAAAAGCAGAAATAATCTCAATAAACCCAAAAGAGAAACCACATGTTGACAAAAGGTAGCATAGCAACAAAGTCATATAATTTTTTTTATACAATATGGCTAATATGGAAGTGTTTTACATGATTTCACACATATAATTGATATCATATTGCTGGATTTCTCAGTGGTTCATACGGAGAGATGCCAGAAATTAATGAAAATAATACAGAAAGCAAGAGGATCTAATGAAGATGAAATTGTTAATACAGATTAATTCTAGATTTAGTTTTAAGGGATCTGATTTTGCTGTGAGTTTATGGGGAAGCTATATATACAAAGTTCTATACTTTACTCTTGTGTTGCAATTGTGAAAGTCAGTCCATAGGTTGGGTGACATGAGTTTTAAGTCAAGTGTACACATTTATCAAATCTCTTCTCATTTTCTAGGTGTTATTTCCAATCACAGTCATACAGTTTGGTTAAGATTTGAAAGACCAATCCATGAACCTCCTGTCTGATCCAGAAAACCCTCCCAACTCAATGGCCATTAGTAAACACTCACAGTTGACAGACTGCATCCTGCAGGGCTTCTCTGAATACCCCAAACTCTTCCATTATTTGACTGTTTCCTCTCCTTGTATATGGTGACCCTCACAGGCAATATCCTGATCATCACAGCCATCACACTCAAGCCTCCACAGGCCCATGTACTTTATTTTGCTTACCTTGGCTACAGTGGACATTGTCTGTACCTCCTTCATTCTGCCCAACACGCTGGAGGGGCTGCTCTCAGAGGAGAACACCACCTCCTATGGGAGCTGCAT